GTTGTTTGGCGGGTCCGGGCTGGGGATTCGAACCTGCCACCTTAGGTGTACGTGGCTGGCGCCTTAGCCGGTTGAGCTATAGGCGCCGAGCCATATCTTATTTTTTTTAAAGTGCCACGTCCACCTTGTTTGTTATAGTAAGTTCCTTAAAGGAAAAAAATCATGTATTCCTCTTTGCTGTAAACGGTGCTAGTAGAGAACATGAATGTGCGTCTGTGTCTATAATTTTTCAATAAGCTCCCAAGTTATTTAAATCAACATAGTACTCCAGTCCTTGGAACATTTTCCCACAATTGCTAATTCAGTTATAATCAGTTAATGCAATATTCTAGGAGTACAAAGCGGCTTTTTTTGGTCTTTTCCATTTGTCCTCCCTTCTGGCCTCTTCCTGACCAATTACTGCAGTGTCTGCAGATGCTTGAGGTCCTGCCTGTCAAACTTCAAGATGAATTCTGTAACAGCATCCCTTTGGCTCCTGGCTCAGGGCCTGATCAGAGAGCTCTGGCAAGGCCTCCGTGGTCAGACTGCCTACAGAGCACAGATTCATTCCTGTTCAAATCACAGCATCTCCAATAAGTCTGTGTGAACAGTTCGGGCAAAAAGTGATAAAGCAGCACCACTTCTATTCAGTGGCCCCAAGGGAGAATTAGTCTTCTCAGTGTCTGGAAAAAGGAGAAAGTTAAAAGCCAAAGAGTTTTATGTCTTAAATTCCCATGCTGACAGTCTTGCCAGGGACCAGTGCAAAACTACAATATTCTAAATACCTATCAAAAATACTGACACGTACTAAAACATGTTTTATTTTATTTATTTATTTATTTTTTTAGAGACAGAGTCTCACTTTATTGCCCTCGGTAGAGGGTCGTAGCGTCACAGCTCACAGCATCCTCCAACTCCTGGGCTTAGGTGACTTTCTTGCCTCAGCCTCCTGAGTAGCTGGGACTACAGGCACCCGCCAGAACACCCGGCTATTTTTTTGTCGCAGTTGGCCAGAGCCGGGTTCAAACCTGCCACCCTTGTTATATGGGGCCAGCGCCCTACCCACTGAGCCACAGGGACCGCCCAAAATGTGTTTTCTTTTTTGCTGCCTATCTTACCTCTGCTAACAAAGGCTATAGGTTTCCAAATAGGAAACTAGGCCTAAAACACACATATATTTGTTGAATTAGGGAGCAAATGAATGAGAATCCTGAAGGGCTACCATAAATACCATGAAATAAAAATATATGCCAGAGTCAAAATAATTATGTACCAAATATACACAGTAACTGTTTTCAAAACAGCAGAGGAATCAACACAGGCTAACCAAGTAAGCATTTATCTCATGTGTATTTCAGTACAAGATACCCAGACTCACTACCAGGATTCTTTAAAAAGGATGCGATATACCTACAGTCTCTTCAGAACCCCAGAAACATTCTCTAGATGCTAAATCTTACAGTACAAATAAGTAGTCAGTCAGTTAAATGTTAGGACAAAATAAATCCCAATCACCCTGCCAACTCTATTCAAAACCAACCCCAAATCATGCACCCAAGTGTAATAACAGAAACCCAAGAAACTGCTACTAAAAGAAGGGAAATACTACCACCTTCTTCTCCTAATAAAAGAAGGGAAATACTACCTACCTAAAACCACAGATATTGTCAAAACTCCAGAGAAATGCCAAACTCCTGCATCTAAGTTACTGAACTAGAACTAGAGAAAATAGCTTTAGCACATTATACTATGTGCAGTCTTAACTACAAGAAGCTGCTAGAACACCAAATGGGTTGGGCTGAAAGGGAATCAGCGCATTCTCCCCTCCTCCCCCCTTTAAATGGCAGGGAATGAAAAACAAATGACGGGCAACGAATATAATAACCTTTTAAAGTTATCTTTCTGACCACTGCATTGCCTACATCATGTTACTTAAGAGATATTTAACTGCTTATTTTGTTGATATTAGGGTTATTAGTTTGCATTTCACTACTAAGGCCATACTACCTATGTGCCTGGCACAAAAAAGAAAAAGGTGCTCTATATAGTTGCTAAATGAAAAGACAAATTTTGGGATACAGTTTCTGCAATGGAGGATTGCCACCAAGTACTTTACTAATATTCTACCAACAGCCCAACTGTGTGGCTGTGTATCCTCTCTGAGAAATGGGACCACTACAGTTTACCCAATGACCCTAGAAAAATTTGCAAGAAAAAAACATCAATTTGTATAACAACAAGCCCTTTGAAAGACATTATTTTACTTTTTAAATTTTTCACAAGTATCTTTAAGCACTAGCTCTTAATTTACTAACATAGTGTCCACATCAGGACCTTGAATTCCACTGCTAGTTCTACTGTCCACTATGAACCATAAGGAAGAAAGAAGCATCAGAGAAAAGGAAATAAAGCTATGTCCTACCCTGGCAATGGGTGGACATATAGATCAGTAGATACTGACAGGGATTTGTTTACAAATTGTTTGCATATGTGTAATGTCTGGGCAGTGAAAGTTTAATACTTTCATCAGTATCTCAAAGGGAACTCCCAAGAAATAAGATCCCCTATAGAGAAACAGGTGTGCTCCTGAAAACTGTAAACAAAGTTAAAAAGTTTAAATGTTTCTTGGAGTTTTTTGTTTGTTTTACCTTCATGTGTAAAACAGAACACCTTTCCTACAGCAAACTGCAGGCCAGAGATAATAAAACTGGCCTATCAACACTGCACAACTAGTCAATAGACCCCAGAAAGGACTCAACCTTAAACCACCTGGCATTTCACTCCCAGCATAAGGCCTGTCACAGAACATAGTTTTATTCTTAAGTCTGAAGTTCATGGCTTTAAGCAGGAGTACTGGCTTGAAATATCACTTAGTCAAACCTTTCAGTTACTCTGATCACTATCATTCACAACTTTTACTACTCCAAATGAATAAAAGGAAGAGATTAACAGATGAAGGAAAGACAAGTCTTCCCACTAATTTACTCAACAACTTTCAAAAATAAATTTATGCCAGTTTAAAAGCTTCCCCCTGCTACTAGTGCTTCTATGAAGGATTCTCAAACTAAGGGATGTCCAGCAAGTCTTACTACTAAAGATTAAAGACAGCATAAAGGAAGCCAAGAGAAGATAAGGCCAAGTGTCATCCTTCTCTATTCAGGAAACAATGGCGGAATCTTGCCACAGGCCAAGATTTCCAAAGAGATGCATATATACAAGCAATAGCAATCTGGCAGAAGGGCTGGGGATCCTGTAGTAGTACCTGGGAGTGGAAGCAGGGGGCGGGAAAGCCTGTGCAATTAATAGCTCTAGCAGAAATCTAGTGTGGCCAGGAGTACACGACCACCCATTGAAGCGCCAGCATTTTCCTTCACAGCCATCACGCCCTCTTCCCTCCCCCGCCCCCCAAAGAAGCAATGCGGCAGGAGTGGAGAGAACGGGAAGAATCACTGGCGTAGCTTTGCAGTGTAAGCCTGGTTTTGAAACCTGTTTCCACCACGAAACAGCTGTCTGACCAGGGCAAGTCACAAAACCGTGGCTCAGTTTCCCCATTACATTCCAAACCATAGAGAAATGCTGCCAAGATTAAGTAAGACTAGTGCGAAACCCTAAGCACAGGACCAGACAGAGGAACCGCTCCATGGCTCTAAGGCAAGTCCGCAGGAGGGTTCTGGGGTCTGGGCTCCGGCCCTAATAGGCGCTCCCGGGGCGCGCTCCCCGCCAGTTGGGTTCCGAGCCCCTGCCCGGCCCACCTTGTTGTTGTACTCCTCCACGAAGCTGCCCAGCGCCAAGCGAAAGCGCTTGTCGGGCCGCACACTCCAGTTCATGGCGTAGACGGTCCAGGGCGCTTCATACTTGTAGATCTCCTTCCGTTTGCCGTGCAGGGACATAGTGGCGGCGGGGCCGCAGTGCGGGCCGGGTCCACAGCGGGCTGCGGCGGGAGCAGCAGGAGTCAGGCGGGGAGCCGGGTCTGGGACCGCAGGGTCAGACGGGAGGCGGGGAGGGGGCGGGCAGGAACGGCCTACTCCGGAAGCGGGGCCGCGGCGACAAACAACGACGGCCGGGCCCGACCCCCAGCTTCAAACCAGGTTCAGCACCGACAACCACCACCTTCCGTTTGGGATGCGCTCCGCCCTCAGGAACGGAAGCCACGCGACCCTCTCAGCGGCACCGGCCGTTGGCTATCTGACACGTCTTTTCGAAACAGTTCTTTCTTCTCATTGGTTATTGTGGCCTTAGCGTCTGTCTCCTCCTCACTATTGGTGCAAATGTTTGTCACTCCAACTATTCTCCCCGCCCAACTTCGGGGGCGGGCAGATGCTTTCACAGCCCCAAAGGTCATTGGGTGCCCAAGATGTCAGTCAGAGAGATAACGGCTCAGTGCGGGTGTAAGGGGGCGTGGGTGGCCTAGATGCGAGCGTGCGAGGCGTCAGGCCTTGAAGTTCTAGGGCAAGTATCTGAGAGCAAAACCTTCCGTGTGATCTGCTTTTTCCAGCAGCCTCAGAGTAAAATTTAAATCCTCCCTTAATGGACAACCTACTGCATTTCGCGGCACTGAGACCCGCGGCCTCGTAACCTGGCTCATGCCAAACGGGAACCCCCTTCCCGACCTATGTTTCCAAAGGCCCCTTTCAACTCGGAGAGCTGCTCTTCCAGTGCCCCAGGGATAGGGTTTGGATGCACAGATGTGCCCATGGCCAGGCCAGCTCTAGTCAGGCCGTCGCTCGCTTTTCTTCAGATCTTAGAAACGTTCCCGAATTCCCGAGTAGGCTCCAACACCACCCGCTTGATTTTAAGTTAATGACATAATGATGTCGTTCCCATCATGTTCTTTCCCCGCTGCTGATCCCAAGGCAAACGCTAATCCAGCCCTAAATTTTATCGGTGCCCGTGAGTTTGAAACAGAGAAGAACCTGAGTCCAGGTAAAATCTTTATATAATTTAAGCGGCTTCTAATTCTGCACTTTTATCAAAATTGAAGGAAGTTTGTATTGTTGGGTGATAACACTATATATTATTTTTAATGATAAATGTGATTTTAATGGGCAACTCAATTCGTGTAATTGAAGGACAATTCCTCATATGTATAACAACCCCCTATTTGTCCTAGCCACCTATGTGAACAAGTTTTCTCTGCACTTGTTTTTTAAAAAGTAAAGAAAAATAGGCAAAAGTTGCTGAACCTTGTCTTATTCTAATAAAAAATAATAGTATTCATCCACAAACAATTGAGAATATCCTCTCTTTTATGAGTTACATTTCCAGAAAAATTTTAGTTTTTGTAAAGATTTGAATATATATTTATGTTGTTGGAACAACTGTACTAATAAATGTAATGTTTGAAGCCTATTAAAGTTACAAAAAATTGCTTTTAAAATTTCAATTTAGGCCAGGGATGGTCACACCTGTGGTCCCAGCATTTTAGGAAGCCAAGGAGGGAGAATCACTTGAGGTCAGGAGTTTGGGACCGACCTGGGCAACGTTGAGACTCTATTTCTACAAAAAAATTAAAAATTAGCCAGGCATGGTGGCACAGTCTATAGTCTTAGCTACTTGGGAGGCTCAGGCAGGAAGATTGCCTGAGCTCAGGAGTTCAAGGCTACAGTGAGCTATGGTCATGCCACTATACTGCAGCCTAGATAGCAGTCTAAAAACATAAAATTTCAATTTATATACATATTTGCCTTGCAAACATATAGGCACTGATAGGCAAGATATGCAAACATATCTTGCACTGATAGACTTTGAAGCATTAAAATAAATTACATGTAGCATAAAACTATGGGGGGAATAGATGGTAATTGTGGGAAGAGAAAAGAGAATGATGTAAAAAGAAAAAAAAGGGGAGGGGCTTCTTGGCCAAGTGTGCTGGCTCACACCTGTAATGCTAACACTCTGGGAGGCTGAGGCAGGAGGATTCCCTTCGGCCTGAGCAAGAGCAAGACCTCATCGTCTCTACTAAAAATAGAAAAATTAGTGGGCATTTATTGTGGTTGCCTGTAGTCCTACCTGCTCTCAGAGGCTGAGGCAGGAGGATCACTTGAACCCAGGAATTTCAGATTGCCATGAGCTAGGCTGACACTCTAGCCTGGGGCAACAGAGTGAGACTTTGTCTCAAAAAAAAAAAAGTTGCTTCTTTTGTTTTTAAAATTGATGATGGTAGCTTCTCAAATAACTATGTTACTGGGCTAGACATGAGTTAATACAAGTAAAGGATGAAATAGTTTTACAAATGTCAGTATTTACAGTGCATTTGACATTACATCCTTTGCAACTATTTAAGATTGTTAATGAAATATGTCAGATGTGGCTCGGCGCCTGTGGCTCAAGTGGCTAAGGCGCCAGCCACATACACCTAAAGTGGCGGGTTGGAATCCCCAGCCCGGGCCCGCCAAACAACAATGATGGCTGCAACCAAAAAAATGGCCAGGCGTTGTGGCGGGCGCCTGTAGTCCCAGCTACTTGGGAGGCTGAGGCAGGAGACTCGCTTGAGCCCAGGAGTTGGAGGTTGCTGTGAGCGTGATGCCATGGCACTCTACCCAGGGGGATAGCTTGAGGCTCCGTCCAAAAAAAAAAAGAAATATGTCAGATGTCAACTTAAAAATGTGAGGAGGCATATACATCTTCAAAATTCTTTTAGGGCATATTGGAGTTAAAAGGACTGAAGACCAGTGACCACGTATTTTTCAGATAATAGCCCTTTTCAGTAGCCCTTTTCAAGCCAGACCGTCTGGGTTGAAATTTTTGCTATGTGTTGGGCATGACTCTTTTTTTCCCTTAATTGAAGTATAATTTACACATAGAAGTACACATTTTCACAACTTAAATACACTCATGTAATCAGCACCTGTACAGGAAACAGCACCCCCAGAAGCCTCTTTCATGCTTTGAGTGTCTCTCTCTGAACCCACATGTCTAAAATGGAAATAATGTTGACCCCGGGGATTGTTGTCAGGATTAGATGAACTAATATCTGCAGTACAGTCCGCATGGTGCCCATAATGCAATATGATGGAAGTCCTGGCTGTTGTCACAATTTTCTGTGGCTACCAAACCTGAGCCTCTGCTTCCCTTCACCCCAGCCTGGCCAATAGTCCCAAGATCCAGGGACTTCTGAGCCCAGGGAAGCCACCTTCAGGTCCCCAATGTACTAGATACAGTGGAGGGTGAGTCCCCAGCTCCTTACAAGAAGGGCTTGGAGAAGGCCACAGCATAGTTGAGGACCTGATGTCCCTGAGATAAGACACACCTAGCCCAACATGAAATGTGCAGACTTTATTAGTTGCATGACACTCCACTGCCCTCAAGGGACCCAAATATCATCACAGAATCATCAGGGGTGGAGGAGATGAGGGCTGGGGCTCAGCCCTGATATGTCCACTATAGAGGATACATTCATCTCCAGCTGGGTTGGAGGACCTTGGCCAGAGGTCTGGCCAGCCCTCAGCCTTGGTGCTAAGCCACAAGGCAGTGGATGGTTCTGAGCTTGGTGATCATATGTGGCCCAGAGGAAGGCTCTCATGTAGACCAGAGACTTCTTTCTTTACTGACTCCTCCACTGTACGCTGCCTCCAAACCTAAAGCTCTCTGACCTTCCACCAGGTTTGCTGTCCAAATGGAGCCTCTGAGGAGGCTGAGAGAAGTCCTGAGCCTCTTCACCTTTGCCAGCCTGGGCTACCTGGGTCAGCAGTCTGTAGCTACTCTAGGAGAATGGCTTTCAGAGGCCCATCTTGGGAGCTATCTGCCTCCCCCACCTTCACTCCCCTCATGGTGTCTTTTATCTTGGGGTTCAGTGGCCTTAACTCCCTACAAATCCGGGATCTGAGCCATGTCTCTGGAACTCCAGCTGCTTGGGAATAGAGCCCAGGTGTTCAGGGAGGGAGGGGAAGCGGGGACTGCAGATGAGTCCCTGTACCTCCAAGGGATGCAGAGGTGAGGCCAGGGGTGACAAGAGTCCCTCAGGCTGCTCCTGTTCCAAGGATGCTGTCAGAGTTTTATCTGTTGCCATGACCAGGCGAGGCATTTTGGAAGAGTTCCTCTGCTTTGTCCTATACTTGTCCAAGTCCAAGGATGGGTTCTGGGAGAGAGGGGAAAGAGGGATGCACCAGTGTGCCAAGTCCCACAGACCTGACTGTGGGTTAATTCACCTTTACTTCTGGGATGGGAAGAGGCAAGAGCTGGACCTGAGCTTCCCACACCTTGGGGCCTGTCGCCCTTGCCCCAGCTGTAACGTCTGTGGTCACAATCTGGGCTCTGCCACCACCCTGTCCAGGTTGCCCTGTCATGACTCAAATCATAAAAGAAGACAACAGAGCCACAGCAGCTCTGGGCCTGCAGAGGGTCTCAGCCTGAGACCAAGTTAGGAGTGGAGAAGGCAGGCAGCTGCCTGCAGGCAAACTCTGGGGAATCTTCACTCCTCTCACCTGTGCAGGGGGCAGATGGCTCCGGGGCAACGTGGGCCCTGGACCCTGAGTCACTGAGGCCATAGGAAACAAGGCCAGATCAGTGACAGCAGGGACTGCAGGAATGTAGCTGGTATTGCCCTGGGGTATAGGCTGCTGAAGGAGCTGAAGGATGCGGCTGAGGTCTGAGGACACACGGGACTCCAGCCTGCCAGACAGAACACTATGGTCAGGTCCTGAGGATGCCTCGCAATTTTGGAGACTGAACTCTATTCCTGCCAAATGGAATGACAGCCTGGGGCCTGCCTGAAGCTATGTCCTGCTGGGATCTACAGCCCCTGTCCTGATTCCCCCTACTACATACATCCCTGACCCGATAACACCAGTGACCAGGCACCAAGCACACAACATTCAGTCCCCAAAATGCTTTGACATGGGTACTCTAATTACCTCCATTTATAAAGGTGTGAACTGATGCTCAGAGTGGTTAAGTAACTTGCCCACCCTCCTGCTGGTAATTTACAGAGCCACAATTTGGAGTCAGTACTATTTAGCTGTAGGCCTCCACTCTGCCATCTACAGGCCACACCCTCTTTCTGAGGGCCCTCAGAATTTGTTTCTACACAAAGTTGTTCCTTTCTCCAGGAGGCTTCCTTTGCACATCCCAGGGTTTTCTAGGGGAAGTGATCCAAGAAATTGTGCTGAGTGACGGGGATGGAAGACCTGCAGCTAAACGAACCCACCATTCTAAAACCCACCAGGCACTAGATGATGCCTCTGAGCCACCAGGAGGGGGCACCCGTGCCTAGCCTGCCACTGGGTCTGCCCTCTATAGCTGCCCAGCCCAGGCACACTGGGCACTCACCTGTTCATTTGGGCCTGGAGCTGCTCTAGCCTGGAGCCTAGCTCCCTAGACCAGCAATCTGGGTTTCCCTGAGAGTTTGGAGGGCTGCGCATGGCGGGCATTTGCTGCAGCAACTCAGGCCAGAGACCAGATGTATCTGAGATGCTCAGGGAAGGGGCTGCATCTGCAGGAGGGAAAGGGAAGCCATCTAGCTGGTTCCATGACCTGAACCTTCTCGGCAGAGCCCATGTCCTACCCCATACCTGCCCTGGGAACACTGGATGTGGGGAGCAGCTCTCCTTACCTGGGTAGCCTGGAGCATGAGGGCCTGCCACCATGGAGGTCTGGCTTCTAGGACCCAGGAGGCTACATCCCTGGGAAGGGAGCTGGGGCCCCAGCTTGGGGGGGGATCCTGGTAGAATGGGGACTTCAGTCTCTGGTCTCACTGCCCAGGGAGCTATAGCCCAATGGGTGCCCTGCTGCCCTGGTGTGAAATCCCAGACAGCAGCACATGAACCAGTGAGTTCTCACTCTGGCTCAGGGGACATAGGCCATCAGGGCTGGGAGACAGAAGGAGGGGGCAGAGGCTCCAGCCCTGGACCCTGGGAGGGAGCCCCCATCAATGCATCAAGGGGCTGGGTAGACAGGATGAGAAGGACATGAGACGGCACAGGAGACTGGGCAGAGCTGGTAGGGGAGGGGCTGGCTGTGCTCACCAGATTGATTGTTGCTGAGGAAGAAGCTTTGTGGGTCTTGGCTGCCTGGAGCCTGTCGGGGTGATGACTGGAGACCCCCGTCTGCCTTGTGGGGAACAAGAGTATCAAGTAACAGGAACCAAACCTGGGACAGGGCTTCTTGGTTCTTTTTTTCTTTTTTTTTTAATAAATGATCCCTTTTATTGTAAGTAATGCATGACACTGGCCTGGCTTTGCACTGCACACTCTCAGTCAAAATATAGTCAAATAACTGTGGCTGCAGGTTCTTCTGCACGATCCACAATTCAGACATAAACAGAGCTGGGCAGGCAGGGCAGGAGGGCAGCAGAGTGTGGACTATCCCCAGCCCTGGCCTCTCCATCAGGGCTGCCCAAGGCACACACCCCATGGGATGAGGAAATGATGGCATAGGGTCTCTTGGTTCTTGCCCAACTTCCCTCCCATGGCCCTGTCACAACTAGGTGAGAAAGTGGTGACAGATGGCTTAGGCACACCAGCAATGCTCTGGGCAGCTTCCTGCAGGTTCTTTCCCGGGAGGGAGGGCAGGCAGGTAGAGAGCATTGCCTGGGCAGCCATGGGGAGACCCCACAGAGGTCTAGGGAGAGGCTGCCTTAAGCAGCAAGATTTGGGGGGAAGCAGAAGAGCTGCTCTGCAGTGCTACTTTCTTGAGCACCCTGTGCCCCCTCCCCCAGTGTGGCCCAATGCAGTTTCCTTGGGGCAAATTCCCAATCCACTTGGGAGGTGCCTTCAGCAGCGTCCTTGGCTGTGAAACTTGAGGGTACTTGGGGTTGCAGATGACCCAGGCCATGGAGACTACATCCCTCCTGCTCTGTGTCTAGCCACTGGACACTCAGGCCACCTGATGGCCCCAGATATCTCCTGTGTATATCAGGAGGGAAGGAGAGGGACTGGGAAGGGGGAGAGCAGCAGAGAGGACAGTGGAGGGAGGGATGTCCCTCCAGAAGCTGGGCACAACCTGGGCCCGCAAAGCCATCCTCCTGAGGCTGAGGAGAAGGGCAACAGGAAAGGGAGGAACTGAGGTGCAGTGTCCCCTGCCAGGCATACCCTCCCCCTCCTTCCCATCAGCTGACTCCAGGCCCCTCCTCCATGAAGCTCCTTCTGGTCACTTCCAGGCTCTGTCCTGGCTGTCCCTCTCCTTGGCAAACTTGGACTCCACGAAATTTGTTCTCTTCTGCATACCCTTGTGATTTAGGTTATTTTTCTGTGTGGCTCTTTCTTTTTACTGAGCTGTTATAATCTCCTCCACTGAGCGATAAACTCTAGAGGGCAGACAGCTTTATCACCTCTTTATAGCTCCTGTGCCTGTCTCTGTGAGCCCACTGGATGGCAGATACCCTCCTTTTCAGCTTGGTACATATGATGTGGTGGGAAAAGCCTGGGCTTTGGCATCAAACAAACTTGAATTCATATTTTGTCTCTGCCATTTACTACCGGTATGACTTCGGTCAATTTATTTATCCTCTCTGGCCCTCAGTTTTCTCCTCTGGAAAATCGGGATAATAACACCAATTGCAAAGAGAGGACTAAATGTTAGCATGTACAAGAAGCCCCACCCCCAGCACATAGTCAGTGCTTCAGTAAATGGTAGCTCCCCTCGTATCGGCCATGGTGAGTAGAGAAGAAATTATGGCCAAGGGTGAAAGATGGGGTTGAAAGGAAGGGCAGTGGTCAGATGGGCTCAGCTGGCTGCCTGGGAATTACCTGTTACCAGCTGGCTAAGAGCCGCCACCCACCCTGGCCCACGTGGCCCAGACTCACGTCCCGCAGGTTGAAAGTGACTTCCAGCTTACTCCAGAAGCTGTCCGCAAAGGCAGGGTACATGTCCAGCACCTCCAGCAGGTCTGCCCGCTGGATCTTGTGCAGGTCGCAATAGGTCAGGGCCCGCACATCTGCACTAGACTTGCCGGGCCGGGCATGGAGGCTGACGGGCTCCCCAAAGATGTCATTCTTCCCTGCCAGCCAGAGGGGCGGTGAGCCCTTTAGATCTGGTTCCCTTAAGAGCAGCCTCTCTGAGGGTCCCTTGACTATGACCTCCTCCCACCTCAGGGATCCTGCTGGGCTAGGGCCTGATGCTCAAGATCAAGCTGTTGGGACAGGGCTAGATGTGCAGGCTGTGGGGTAGAGGAGAAGGGAATGTGCCCTTCTCTGTCCTCTGAGTACCACAGACATCTGTTCAGAGCCACCCAACCTAGCACATGGGTCCTCTCATTGTCTACAGGCCTCTCAGGAGCCAGCCACCATTGATATGCTCGTCCTCTTGTCCATGCTTTTTGGCTCTGTGCCCACTTCCACCCAGGGGACAGTAGGCAGAAAGGGGCACTAACATCTCCCTGCTCAGCCTCCCCCCACTCTCTTTGGCCTGCCAGGACTATAAAGTAGGGTGCAAGGAACCTAGGGCCAGCAGCACCCAGCTCCCTCAGTGCAGGGCCCGAGGCTTCTGTTTGTCTTCTCATTCTCCACTGTAGGGCCAGGCAACCAGTGTGCTCCTGGCAAGGGAGCCCAGGAAAGTCACTCCCTCTCTCTGTACCCCCAGAGTCTTCATCTCTAAAATGGGTGTAACCATATCCGTCTTACCTACCCCACTGGGCTGTTCAGAGAAGCACATGAGGTGATGCTTGAGAAAATGCCTCCAAAATCAGGTGGCACCAGACAAGGTCAATGCAAGACATTGGGAGGGATGGATGCCACAAGATAGACATAGGATGATACTCAGGCTATGTAACAAGGACATTGGACCCTCCTGGTGCCAGTTGCTATGCTGGCCACAAGATATAAATGTGAATAAGTTGCTGTCCCGCCACAAAGAGCCTCCCAAATCCTGGCAAGACAGGCATCTAACACAACCAACAAGTTTACAGAATGGTCTAGAGCCTTAGAATCAAGAGCTATGGGGCCGTGGAGGAGGGAGGGGCTCCTTCTACAAGAGGCAGCTGGGGAAAGAAAGAAAGGGTCTACAGAGGAAGTGAAATGGGTGCTGTGTTGAGAGAATCAAGGACCAGGCTCCAGGAGAAAGCAATCTGGGCAAAAGGGACAGCACGTGGTCAGCACTGCATGGTCAGGGCCAAGGGGCAGAGAGCCCAGGGCCAGGGGTGCCATGGGCCATGACTGCTTTGATTCCTACTCCCCAAAGGACAGTCCAGCCCTCTCAGCCTGATGATACTGTACAAGGGATGGTTTAGCACAGACAGGAGAGGGACAGAGGGAGGCCAGGACAAGCCAGGACACTCAAGAGAACAGGATCAAAGATCATTCACAGAAGAAGAGACTGAAAAGTCTAGAGAGAAAAGGGACTCACCAGGGTCACACATGCAACTCTGAAGCTTGAAACATGGGCAACGTTTTAATGTGATGGTTTTCCAGTAGATGAAAGATTATGGTCTAATATCTATTTCTACTCAGGACAAAATGAAAGGATTTCATGTCTCCAGCTGAAACTTAAATTGGACTAGCTTCTTAATTATTAATAATAATTATTATCTCTCCCATGTGGATGGTACTTCTAAGGAAGGCTGGGAGTGAGGGCAGGTCTCAGAGGAGTCTGCGCTTGCCCAGCCTTGGAGGATGACTGACATCTGCCATATGGAGGCACAAGGTAGGGCACTCCCCTCAGAATGGTGGCACGTGCAAAGGCACAGAGGTGCCAGGAGACTGGCAGACCTAGAGAATCATAGATAGTTTGAATGGCTAGAGCATAAAACACGGAGGGAGGACTTAGAGTGGCCAGATTGGGAGAACTGCGCATGCCACATATGGGCCAGGGGTAGCCATGGAAGGATCTTGAGCAAAACAAGCTCAAGGATGTGTATTTCAGGTCACTGGTAAAAGGTAGAAGTAGATGATCTACATGGGAGTAAATCAGACACAGGAAAGGAGCTCCCAATACCTGTCCAGGAAGGACACAAGGAAGGCTGGACCAACACAGTGATAGGAGTCAGGTGTGGGCTGGAGACATATCGCTGGGGGTCACAGAGAGGGCTCTGTGACTGGCTCCTGGGCAGTGGGGCAGGGAAGAAGAAGGATGCTCCCTTGGTTGACTATGGCCTGGGAGTGGCTGGGGGGTTCCTAGTGATGGAGACACCAATGGAGTTGCTTTTGAGGATAAGTGATGATTTCAGATTGGGATATGTTGAGTTTGGTCTGCCTACGGACATAGGGATGGTCATGCCCAGGAAGGAATGGAATATTTCAGTCTAAGCAGAGAGTGGGGCAGGACAGAGCTCTGGGGAGGATGTGGAGTGAAGAGAAGAGGGCACCAGCAGGCCAGAGGCAGAGAAGCCGGCATTGGGGCTGAAGGGGGACATGTCCCAAGGGGCTGGAGAAGAGCCAGGTCACAAAGAAAGGCAAGGCTGAAATTGGAGCTGGACACACAAGTGGAGATGAAGATACAGAGCAGGCAAGGAAGACAAGATTCCAGGAGTCTCTGTGGTACTCAGAGAGGTAAACTGGTTTACCCAAGGTCACACAGCAGGTAAGAGGCAACTCTGTTCCCTGTTCAGTGCTCATATCCTTCCCTCAAAGTGTCCAGCTATGCCTGCACTTGCACTGGAGGACAATGGGGTACCCAGGCTAGCCCCCCTCCACCTGAGGCAGACCCTTGGCCTGTCACCCTGAATTCCCCAAGAGGGGAAGAAGGTTTTGGAAGGAGCCTGAGCAGCCTCCTCTATCAGACACTCAGCCCTGGAACCCCGGTTTGGTCACTGACTAGCATGACCCCTCTGTGCCTCAACTTCAGGTTTTAAAAACTCTGTGAGCTGGATATAAAGCTCTCTGCTGCACATGCTCAGCATGTGGCTGGCCACTAAAAGGTGCCACAAACTCCCATTAGGAAGAGGGTGGCCTGGGGATGGCTTCTCCAGTCTCCCTTCACCCCATTCCCCAAAAAGGCCTGGTCCACCCTGCCTGACCCACCTAGAATGGCTACGACCATGTCATCGCGTAGGATCTCAATGGAGCCGCGGGAGATGAAGTAGAGCGTGGAGAGCACATCGCCAAGGTGGACCAGCGTGTCCCCTGGCGGCGCGTGTGTGGTCTTGAACTTGACGGCCAGTGCGCGGAGGCACCCTTTGCTGGCACCGTGGAAGGCCGGGCAGTGCTGCAGTAGCGCGCGGTGCAGGTGCAGGCAGATGTCAGCCTGCAGACACTCGGGGAAGCCCTTCAGCACCTGCGAGGCGGGCGCTGAGTCCAGCGGGGCACGCCTGGGGCTGGGGAAGCGGGTGGGGAGGGTTGTCCGTGGGACCTTGGCCTCCCCCAGGGGTATCAGTCAGAGCCGTGGGGGCTCACCGCGTTCATGTCGATGCCATTGGTGTAGGACCAGGCGTGCTGGAAGTACTCCTCCAGGCGCTGGCGCAGAGGATTGGGGATCTGGTGGAAGCGTATGAACTCCTTGACGCGCAGCATCTGTGTGTGGTAGCGCGCGGTGCCCGAGTACAGGCGCTGGATGATGGCAGACACGTTGCCGAAGATGCTGGCATACATGAGCGCTGGGGGGTGGGGGTGGGGGCAAGGGCAACAGTGAGCTGCTGACATCCTGTCAGGGCCTACTTCAGGCTTCCCTCTCCCCAGGAGCCCTCTGACCAGGGACAAATCACAAGTGCCCAGGACAGTGCCAGGGCACATGGGGAACAAAGGCCCTTGGGCTTCCTGCCCTCTTCCCTCTGCCCTGGCATCTTCCCTGGCCCAGAGACCAAACTCCTACAAAGAAGAATAACTAGGGCAATGGCTGTTTTTAAGTTCGGATTTGTTTTATCCTTCAAGTTGTAAAAATATATTAAAGGGAAAACTCTCGATGTTTTGTTTTCACCCATTTTTTTTCCTTGTTTTTGTTTTTCTGGGCTTTCACATCTCTAAATACTCAGAACATGACAACTTAATCTATGTGTAAAATTCCACCTGCCTCCTGTGTTCCTGAAACAGGTGTCTTGGGCAGCAGGCAGTTCAGTGCAGGGACTCTGAGCTGGCCACCTGGGTTGGAACTGGGTGGCACACTCCCTAGCTGGTGCCCTCTGGCAAGTTAGGACCTTGGTTCTCTCTCTGTAAACTGGGCTTACAGGCAAATGAGATGTGGGCCTTTGCAGTGCATTTAAAGGAATGCCTGGCAGAGTCAGCTTCATGGACTTGCTACCTCTGCAGTCACAGGGGGCCCTGTGCTAAGAGCCCTGCATTTGATTAAATACCGTGGTGTCACCATCTCAAAATTCTTAATAATTTTTCAACAAAGGGCCCTATGTTTTCATTTTTCACCAAGACCTGCATATGATGTAGCTGGTCTTGGTGCCTGGCAGATGTCAAGGCCTGTGTGGGTATTGAGTTCTGTGTCTAATCGGTGTGCATGTATGCAAAAATTCATTGTGCTGCACACTTAGGATCAGCATGCTGCATGAATTGTTACCATGTGCTATGTTGTATCTCATCGCCAAACTAAAAACAGAATTCCAGGGGTAAGACCATGGCATGAGTCCCACTCACAGCCGATGAGCATGACGCAGATGGAGAAGACCTTCTCAGAGTTGGTGTTGGGTGAGACATTGCCGAAGCCCACGCTGGTGAGACTGCTGAAGGTGAAGTAGAGGGCCGTGACATACTTGTCCTGCACCGAGGGGCCTGAGGCTGGGTCGCTGCCATTGTAGCGCTTGCCAAGCTGCACACCCAGGCTGTCCAACCAGCCGATCTTGGGTTCCAAGTAGGGCCGTTCCACATTGCCGATGGCATACCAGATGCAGGCCAGCCAGTGCGCAATGAGGGCAAAGGTGCACATGAGCAGGAAGAGCACAGCTGCCCCGTACTCGGAGTAGCGGTCCAGTTTTCGGGCCACACGCACCAGCCTCAGCAGCCGTGCTGTCTTCAACAGCCCGATCAGGGTCGTGGTCTGCAGCAGGAGGGAGAGGGCCACAGAGCAGGAGGTCAGCCCTTGAAAGTATATGCTCAGGCTCGGCGCCTATAGCTCAACCAGCTAAGGCGCCAGCCACGTACACCTAAGGTGGCGGGTTCGAATCCCCAGCCCGGACCCGCCAAACAACAATGATGGCTGCAACCAAAAAATAGCCGGGCGTTGTGGCGGGCGCCTGTGGTCCCAGCTACTTGGGAGGCAGAGGCAGGAGACTCGCTTGAGCCCAGGAGTTGGAGGTTGCTGTGAGCGGGATGCCATGGCACTCTACCAAGGGGGACAGCTTGAGGCTCTGTCTCAAAAAAAAAAAAAAAAAAAAAAAAAGAAAGTATATGCTCAAAGGCCAGGCACGGTGGCTCACGCCTGTAATCCCAGCACTCTGGGAGGCTGAGGCAGGTGGATTGCCTGAGCTCACAAGTTGGAGACCAGCCTGAGCCAGAGGGAGACCCTCGTCTCTAAAAATAGCCAGGCATTGTGGCAGGTGCTTGTAGTCCCAGCTACACAGGAGGCTGAGGCAAGAGAATGGCTTGAGTCCAAGAGTTTGAGGCTGCTGTGAGCTATGACACCATGGTACTTTACCAAGAGCAACAAAATGAGACTCTGTCTCAAAAAAAAAAAAAAGAAAAGAAAAGAAAGAAAAGAAAAAGAAAGTGTATGCTCAAGCCCTCACTTGTTCACTCATGATCACTAGTCTTTGAACACATACTTATGGAGAACCTGCTTTGGGCCAGGCACTTGGTGGGGGGGGGGGGCATAGTGTGAGACCTAAAGGAACTCAGCCTAAAGCTCAAATCAGTGTTCTGGTTGCTAGGACAGAAGTTCAGCGTGAGCACAGAGGTAAGGGAGGGTAAGAACACAGGGGCAGGTTAGGGGAGGCTTCATAGACAAGGTGACATATGGGTGGAGTCTCGAGAGAGGAGGCTGGTCTCCAGGCAGACAGGAGGGAGAGAGAAAGGGCACTCCCAGCACAGGGGACGACAGGAGCAGAGGCGTGGAGCTGAGTGGCATGGTCCTCGCGGGAAACCAAGTTTGGCACTGCACAGACTAGGAGATGGCAAAGCAGCAAGAAAATGCCTGGGCAGGGGAGGGTTAGACAGGGGCTGCTCCTGTGGGCCTTAGAGTCCATAATGTGCTTGGCTTTTATTCTGTAGGCCTTGGGGAGCCATTGAATGTTCTGAGGAGGAGTGGCAAGCTCAGGTATGTGATCTGAACTCCCTGTGGCTACTGTGTGGAGGGGCGGGACGCTGGAGGGTGGGTCTGGGGCAGGAGTGATTAAGAAGGACATTCAGTGTCCAGAATGGGGGCAGGGGGAAAGGACTTGGGAATGGATTTGCTGGGATTGCTAGAGTAGGGGAGCCCTGCTAGACACCTTCTGCTGACATGCTGGGGTGATTGGAGGGAGGTGAGTGGAACACAGAAGGCAGAGTTAATCTAAGGGGAAACTGACCCTCAGAAGATGGGGCAAAAGGAAACAAATGGGACTAGACACTGTGAGAAGGGCATGACAGTGCTCTCACATCACATGAGGGAAGCAGAATGGGCACAGTGGAGGGGCTGGTGGGTTAGAAGGGGCCAGGCTGCCTTGGGGGAGTAGCCTATAGATTCTCTTTATCACTCCAGGGTGAGTGCAGTTTGGAAGTCCGCTGGCATTACAGGAGTGCCTCTGCCCACAGGGGGCAGAATCTTGGGGCAGAGAAGGGCCTGCTGGCAGCCTGCTCCTCTCACCAGGGCCTGCTCAGAGGGAGGGGGCAGAGGGATGGCACCTGGGCCCAAGGCACAGCCTCAGTTCATCCTTCTCTGAGCTGGGAGGTGACAAATGTCTCCCTTTCCCCCTCTACTCACTCTGGCAAAGATGAATACCAGAGATTCTGCACCCAGCACTGTGAGGCAGGGAGGCCTTGGGCTAGAGCCCGAGGGATAGCCATGGCTGCTGGCCATCCGGAGTCTGCTCACCTCATCGGAGCCAGTGCGGAAGATGAGCAGGTCGAAGGGGATAGCAGCCACCATGTCAATGAGGAACCAGCCCTTGAAGTAGTGGACAGCAATGCGGCGGGGGTGGCTGACCACCTCATCGTTGGTGTTAACATAGGTGGTGCGGAAGTTGATGACAATGTCCACGACGAACATGATGTCCACGATGAGGTCCACCATGGTGAGTGGACTGCAGGTGTAGCCGCAGGCCCCACGCTGTGATTCGTCCTGATCACTGAGCAGGAAGGCAGCCGAGTAGGGCGTGAAGACGGCCGTGTAGATGACGAGCAGCAGGATGAGCCAGTCCCACACGGCCTTGAAGGGGCTGTAGTGCAGGATGGTCCAGCGGTGGATGCGCGGTGCCTGCAGCTTGTACTCGGGTAGCACATCTGCACCCAGGGACAGGACCTGTAGGCCACAGGTGGTCAGTGAGGGTCACTGCTGGTGAGATAGGTCTGGGGAGTGAGGCCCAGGCAGGGAACAGGTCTGGGGGTAGAGGATGAGGGAAAGCCAGGGTTGGGGAACATGGGGAGCATGAGGGGACAGACACGTTGGGGAGAAGTGCAGAGGGAGGAGGTGAGAGGTGGGAGGAAGGATGCAGTTCTGTCCCACAGTGACCCAGGTTTGAAGCTCACATGCTAGCTCAGAAACATCCTAACATAGGTAGAGAGGGCAGAGGAGAGACCAGGGCCATCAGGGAGCATGTTCCAGGGAAGAACCCAGATTGAGGGGTTAGTGGGTGGGCTAATCCTCTGTGATGGGCTTGGGGGGCCTCCTGTGGTTGGGGTTCCTCATAAGAACAGATCACCCTAGAATAGCCCCTGGGAAGCCTGGACCAGTGAGGGTCCTCCCTGGGGCCAACTATCAGAACTTTCCATGGAAAGAATCAAATTTAGAGGGAAGTAGACCCTCTGGATCCTCGACAGGTCCTGGGCACCAAGGAGCCCAGACTAGTCCCCACATGACCAAGTTTTGAATGATTACGTTCAAAAGACCTTCTTCTGATTTGCACCTCTCACTCCTGCCTCCAAGACTGTGGCCAACATTGGATCACCAGGGCCCAGCCCAGCATGCTCAAGCTCTGTCCAGATGCCCAACCCGAGCCACAGCTGGACCATTGCACTATGAAGGGTATGGGTCTTGAAGCTGGACATCCAAGGTTGAATTGCAAGTCCAACATTTGCTATATGTGTGACCTGGGGGAAGTTCTGTAACCTCTGTGACCCCTATCTGCAAAGTGGAACAACAAAAGATAATACTGGGACTAAATGAGGTGCCTCTATTTGCACACAGATGGCATGTGCCACCGACATGGTCATTCTTCTTCCACCCTGGTTCCTTCATCCTGCATCAGGCTCTGGATGGATGTTAATTGACATCAGACGCAACTCAAACAAGTACAGAGCCTGAGAGGTGTCCCCTGCTCCCCCTGCCCCAACAGATGAGGTCGGGTGAATGGTTCTGGCTTAAGAAAATCCATAATACAAGGTTTTGACTTTGCAACCACATCAATTAGCAGACAGGATCGCAGTAAGGAAGATCCATCAAAGGCTTGGCCATATATCATCTCCCCAGGAAGCCCTCCTGATTCCATATAAATTTAGCCTCTTTTT